GGAGGAAATGCAGGAAGAGGTGGCACCCCCTCCTTTCCTTCCTCTAGAGCCTGCGGCCAGGGAAAGGGGCGCACCAGCCCTTTGTAGGCCGGTATGTCCCTCCCTCGGCCCATTAAGCACATATCTTTGTCGGGGTTGCCCGAAACTCCTTTCCGGTGACCCGATATGTAACCGGAACACTTCCGGTGTCCGAATACCATCGTCCTATATATCAATCTTTACCTCTCGGCCATTTCGAGACTCCTCGTCATGTCCGTGATCTCATCCGGGACTTCGAACAACATTCGATCACCAAATCACATAACTCATATAATACAATATCGTCATCGAATGTTAAGCGTGCGGACCCTATGGGTTCAAAAACTATGTAGACTTGACCGAGATACCTCTCTGGTCAATAACCAACAGCGGAACCTAGATGCTCATATTAGCTCCCACATATTCTACAAAGATCTTTATCGGTCGAACCATTATGATAACATACGTTATTCCCTTTGTCATCGGTATGTTACTTGCCCGAGATTCGATCGTCGGTATCTTCATACCTAGTTCAATCTCGTTACCTGCAAGTCTCTTTACTCGTTCTGTAGTACATCGTCCTGCAACTAACTCATTAGTCACTTTGCTTGCAAGGCTTCTTATGATGTGTATTACCGAGAGGGCCCAGAGATACCTCTCCGATACTCGGAGTGACAAATCCTAATCTCGATCTATGCAACCCAACAAACAACTTCAAAAATACCTGTAGAGCATCTTTATAATCACTCAGTTACGTTGAGACGTTTGATAGCACACAAGGCATTCCTCCGATATCCGGGAGTTGCATAATCTCATAGTCGAAGGAATATGTATTTGACATGAAGAAAGCAATAGCAATAAAATTGAACGATCATAATGCTAAGCTAATGAATTAGTCTTGTCCATCACATCATTTTCCTAATGATGTGATCCCGTTTATCAAATGACAAGGAAATTTAACCATCTTTGATCAACGAGCTAGTCTAGTAGAGACTTACTAGGGGCACGTAATACAATTCTAGCATGAACAATAAACATTTATCATGAAATAAGAAAATATAAAATAATAATTTTATTATTGCCTCTAGGGCATATTTCCTTTATTGGGAAGCGGCGAGACTGACACCACGGAGGAAGAAAACAGCAGAGAACAAATGATCTAGTAGGGTGAGACGGCGGATTTGATGCAATTTGAGGTGTTGTAGGGTCGTTGGGTCTGACGCGGCGACGCGCTCAGACGCCCCATATTTGGGCTGGATATGGGCCATGCCGGTCAGCCCAGATGTTTGTGGCGTCTGTTTGGGTCGAATTTTTATGACTGGCCAGTGACCGAGCCGTCCACCCGGACGTTGGTTTGGGGCACGTGGCTGTAGATGATGCTCTTATATTGTCTCAAAAAAAAAAGATGATGCTCTTATATTTGCTTGCGCTCGCGCTAGTTTTGTTCATCCCATCTTCCTCGTGTACATGCGTGCAACATTTTTCTTAGCTTCGTACATTGAGCTACGCGCCGTATGAAGATCACGGTGCAGTCATCCAAGTCCATCAAGCCTGACTATGGCGGCCACCGCCCGGCGGCTCCTCCGTTCACGGCGAACGTCGTCCCGCTCTCAGTGTTCGACAAGGCCAACTTGGACACGCAGGTCTCCGTCATCTACGCCTTCCACCCGCCGGCCCCGCCCAACGGCGTCCTCGAGGCCGGGCTGGCCAGGGCCCTCGTCGAGTACCGCGAGTTCGCCGGGCGGCTCGCCCGGGACGCCGACGGCAGCCGCCGCGCCATCCTCCTCAACGACGCCGGCGCGCGGTTCGTCGAGGCGACGGCCGGCGTGGCGCTCGGCAGCGTCATGCCGCTGCGGCCCACCCCCGCGGCGCTGAGCCTGCACCCGAGCGGCGGCGACGAGCTGATGCTCGTCCAGGCCACGCGGTTCGCGTGCGGGTCCCTCGTCGTCGGCCTGACCGTGCACCACACCGTCGCCGACGGCCGCGGGTTCTGCAACTTCATCCTCGCGTGGGGCCAGGCCACGCGCGGCGCCCCCGTCGACCCCGCCCCGGTGCACGACCGGCTGTCCTTCTTCGCGCCGCGCGGCCCGCCTAAGATCGAGCACGAGCACTGCCGCGTCGAGTTCAAGCCATACGGCGCCCGCAAGGACGACTACGCCGGCGGCGGCGGCGGCGAGGAGGAGGTGGTGGTGGTAGAGAGGGTGCACTTCAGCACGGAGCGCATCGCGAAGCTGAAGGCGCGGGCGTCGTCGGCCGGGACGCAGTACAGCACCGTGCAGTGACGCGGGCGCGCGGGCTCGACGGGCGTGACGCCACCGCCCTGCTCATCGGAGTGGACGGGCGAAGGCGGATGAGCCCGCCGGTGCCGGACGGGTACACCGGCAACGTGGTGCTCTGGGCGCGGCCCATGGCCACCGCGCGGGAGCTCATGGACATGCCGCCGGGACACGCGGCGGAGCTCATCGGCCGGGCAGTTGCGCGGGTCGACGACGCCTACTACAGGCCCTTCATCGACTTCGCCTGCTCCGGGGCCGTGGAGGAGGAGCGGCTGGTGCCGACGGCCGACGCGGCGGACATGGTGCTGAGCCCGAACGTCGAGGTGAACAGCTGGGTGCGGCTCCCGTTCTACGACCTGGACCTGGGCGGCGGCCGGCCCTTCCTCTTCATGCCCAGCTACGTGCCGGTGGAGGGCGTGGCCTTCCTCGTGCCATCTTTCGTCGGCGGCGGCAGCGTGGACACCTACGTTTCCCTCTTCCGCCGCGACATGGATGCCTTCCGGAACTGCTGCACATCGGGCCTCTCAAAACTCTAGATTTTTATCAGACTCTTCTTTCCGCAAGTTTCAGTGTTGTTTCATCAAGAACCAATCTATCTATGATAACAAATGTTATTCAAATGGCGCGAATAAGAACAAAAAATTCAACAAAATGGCAGTACATCCTTTTATTGCCTATCCAGCAAGAACGCTGAAACAAATAACATATGTTTGGTGACAAAGAGTAGCCTATAGAGAATTATACAACTACAACCAACCAAGCTTGTAATATCATGTGGGCTTTGCATCCAAACACAACGCGGCAGTTGTGGCAGTGCCATGTCGATACATTTCAGTAGGTACAGTATATCCAACATGGATGGATGGATAGGAAAAAAGAATAGTGATAAAAATTATACCCCCCCAACAAAAGAAATCAATCATACATAAGGGAAACCCAGGAGAGCAAAATCCGAAAGCCTGCTAAACTGTTTTCTCAAACCCGATCCACCGCTGTGTAATCTCACCTGTACCCGCCGTATGGCTGCTGCCCGCCATATCCAGCGCCCATCTGGTTGTAGCCAGCGCCCGGCATGCCGCCGGGAGCCATCCCCATCTGAGGAGGCCGCATCCCCATCCCCTGGTTCATGCCCATCCCCATCCCCATTCCCATCTGTTGTTGGTTCATCCCCATTCCCATTCCCATCTGTTGTTGGTTCATCCCCATGCCCATTCCCATCTGTTGTTGGTTCATCCCCATCGGTTGCTGGCCCATCCCCATCCCCATTCCCATGGGTTGTTGGTTCATTCCCATTCCCATCCCCATTGGTCGGTTCATTCCCATTCCGCCACCATAACCAGGACCACCAATACCGACACCCCGCCCGGCACCCATTGGGTTGGGAGGGGGTGCAACGGCACTCGCACCAGCTCGACCAATGCCAGAGCCAGATCCCATTGCCTTGCCCATGGTGATCGTAGATACTACAGGTGCTTGAGAGATCTTCTTATCTTGCCTTTTATCCTTGCGGTTGATTGAATCAAAGTCCACTCCAATATCTGCATGTGGATTGGTTTTTGCTGTAAAAGAACAACATACAATTAGGTCAGAACACACAAAAACAGAATGTGGACACTGGAGAAATAGGCAGCCAGGGCGCATAGACAAGCCACTTACCGCCAGAAATGTTGAAATCGACAAGACCCCGGGTCAATGTATCAGACCAAACTGTGGATTTGGGCTCAAATTTCTTCACTGGCTGGGTCTGACTAACTTGCAAAGCTGAAATTAGTGTTTCTGGGGGAGCTGATAAACTTGACTGCAGAGGAGTGCTGGCACCAGATGGCACTGAATTTGGAGCACCAAAAGGCTGAGATGCCCCTCGAGAAATTGATGGTGCCTGTGGTGCTGGTGCGGCAGTTTGTGGGAGGAAGCTTTGCTGAGGTGCATGTTGAGGTGGAAGATGAGAAGACTGTGGAGGAACATAGGATGGTGGTGCTCCATTCTGTGAAGCCGGTTGCATATAAAAGTTTGATGGGCCTGATGGTAGATTGGGAGCTGCATGTTGAGGTGCCTGTGGAGGAGCAAATGATGGTGCAGCATGTTGAGGTAGCTGTGGAGGAGCAAATGATGGCGCAGCAGCCTGAGAAAATGATGATGGGTTCGTGGCTGCAGGATATGCTTGTGGCTGAGCAAACATGGGAGCAGCATGAGTGATAGGCTGAGATGCCTGGGAGGGAACATAAGCAGGGGGTGCCTGTTGGGACGGATTTGCATGTGAAACCCCCGAAGGTAAGGAGGTGGTGCTTCCAAAAATATCCTGTTGTCCAGGTGCGGCATTGGATGCAAAACTGAGATCGCCGAGAGTATCTTCAAAACCAAAGCTAGTGGATGAAGCAGGCTGGAAAGGATTTACATCTGCACCAGCTCCTGTGGCCTGGAATGAACCAGCCGGGGTCGCATTTGTCTGAGAAGGTGCATGATTCTCTTCTTGAACTGCCTTGAAAGGAGTAGGATCTCCAAAAGGATTTGAAGCATCACTTGCCTACAATATTTAAATACAAGAGAAAAAGCTGAATGTCTGCCTGCGTTGGCTATTATGACTATATTAAAACAGAACACAACAGTCATTCCATCACAAAAGGACGTCACTTCACATTTAATTCAGAAAAGTTATACTGGCCGAAATTTAGCCAACATTACTCCAGATGCACAAAGGATAAATACATTTTAACAACTATGTTGAGTAATATTTTTACCTTACTAGTGCTTAACTTATCCAGTATGTCAAATTTCAAGGAATTGTAAGGCAATTTAAATTACTTTAAGTAAACTAGTAACACTAGAATTAAAGAAACAGTGCGGTCTAAATTGTATCTTATCCCCATTATCATCGGCGCTAATCTATGCAAATGGCAGTAAGTTCAACAGATTCATACCTCACTGAACCCGGTAGAAGCATGTGGCATGCCCATAAAACTATCCGTTTCAAAACCTGAACTTGCTGATGGCTCGACACTTGGGACGTCAGTCGGCTGAGGAACAGAAACCAAAGCCAGCGCACCAATAGGATCTGACCCAAACAAATCCATCTCAAAGCTGTTCATTATCGGTGAGGTATTCACCGGAGGTGAAGCATCTGAAAGGATAGATATAAGAAAGAAAATAGTATTTAGTAATCACCAAAACAAATTTATAACAGCAACATGCCAGTTAGTCAAAATTCTTCCATGCAGCTGTTCTTCTTGTACAGTTTATAAAGAAACAGAACAAAAAATCATTTGCTATTTTCCATGACTTTGGTTTAGTCATGAGCACATTGACTGCTAAAAGAGTACAAAACTATACCTGGTACTGATCCACGTGGATCAAACTCATCAAAACCATTCGGTTCAGCAGGAGCAGGTGGTTGTGCAGCAGGAGCAGGTGGTTGTGGAGCTACAACCTCGACAGGCTTATCATGAACACCATTCACCTGCCCTGGGGCTGGGGGAAAGCTTGTTCTAGGTACAGAGGGAGAAGATGCCTTTGGTGCAGCAGGCACACTCCCTCCATTTCTGAAATGGATGGATGGCTCAGATTTCCGATTTCATTATTCTATCAACAGATTATAAATTTTAGGATAGAATCGTCACCTTTCATCATGATGGTTGTCCTGGGTATCTCCTGCAACATCTTCGTAGCTTGGTGGTGAAGCAATCTGCTGGTTAGAAGCCTTCCGCTCAATAGGCCTGTTAAAGCAGGTAGAACTTAAGACGGCTAGCTACAAAAGGGCAAGCTAAAAGGTAAGAACTCAACAACACTACAATTTTACCTCTCATCCTGAGTAGGTGCATCAGCGTTGCTGCCACGACCACTGCAACAGAAACAGGAGGATGTTTAACATAAGGGGCACTATATTAGTAATACACAAAAACAGTCTTGAAAATCATCGGTTGACCATCCTATAATCAGCGCTTAAGAATGTTAGATCGAAACAAGCGATGAAACGGACCGGGATGAATAAGCCTCCTCATCCCCGTAGCTCCTACGGCCTGATCCTTCTGCATACTCAGGGTTGCTATTACTTCCTCTGTTGTATTCATCTTCCCTGTTGCGTTCATTAGAATCCCTAGAATAACGATCTCCATCCCTATTGGGTGTATCTCCAGCGCCACTGTATCTGTCATCATCTCTATATCCGTCTCGTTCCCTCCCATAGCCATTCCTGTTATCATATCTACCTCCTTCGTAGCGATCGCGGTCATTGTCATATCCACCCGGACTCCTGTGTGGTCCACTTGTGGCAAATGTACTCCGATACCTATAAAGGAACACAGAAAACTAATCAGCACGACAAACATGTCTACGACACAGTATGTGCCGATCGGATATTTGAAGCAAACATAGTACGAAGTTACACTCACTTGTCTCTGGTAGCAAGTGCTTTCTGCCTAACTTCCAGTATCCTTTCCTTATCATTAACTAAACTAACGAGGCTCTGGGATTTCCGTCGGACATTGCTACCTTGATCTCTCCCACTAGAATCGATATACTGGAAGTCAGCTAGTGCCTGCAATTCTGATTATACTTATTAGAGCATCAAGCAAGTATGATAGAGGAACATAAGATGAGATGCTTGTGTGGCTCTTGATGAAGCAGGAAGTAGAGGATTGATAGCATTACCGATATCTGATAAGAATGCTCCCTTATGTCATCAATAACTCGCTCGGTTCCATGTGCTACCAGGTAATCCAGGACAATCAATCCCTACACAAGAGCAAAATACAGCATCAGATTCAGCTGTCCAACGCATTATCAAGATTAGTCCCCATCCACTCGCGTTTGCAGAGAAGACCATACCTTGTACACATGCCGCCAATTTTTACCAGTATCACTGACCCTCTTCCACACGATATTCATTATCATCTGATACTCATGACTGCAAACACGATAAGCACATTAGAACCAGGAAAGCAGGGCCCTGTTCGGCAAAGCGGCAACCGAATGGCAGAAGGCGTACTAGTTATGTGTTGCTTGGGCGATCTCCGCCAGGAGGGATCCATGCGGGCCCCATGGCTCGTTGCTTGTGGCATCAAGTATCTGTTTCAGGTCGTTTGCGTGGAACGGGTTAATATACAAGAGCAGACTCATACTAAGATTATGCTTCATAGCAACTGGATGTATGCAGTGAGCAATCAGACGAACTTGGCAACAGCATGCGTAACACATGCTTGTGCTGTTGTGCATGAAAGAGGGCCTGAGATCTCCTCACCTTCTGTTCCGTGCCAGGCACCTTGAGGACCTTTTTATTCACCCCGCGTTTCCTGCAAGGAGAAAGACAAGAACGAATAAATACTATTATTGGCAAACGAAACAAGTCTCTCTCGAGTGAACAGAGACAGATGGCATGGAGGTCACGTACAGGTCCCGGACAGTCTGGTCGAACACTTTCTTCATGGCGCCCTGCCGAATCTAGCTAGCCTCCTGCGCGCACCCAGCAGGCCTCCCCTCCTCCTCCTGCTCCTCCTAGTCCTCCTCCTCGGAAGGAGACCTGCACAATCAGTTGCTGGTGAGATCCAAGCCGCCACCTACCCAGACGCTACCATTTCGACTCCGATTGCCAAATGAAGCGTAGCGGACAGGCATAGCATCGCCGCGAAGCAAGCTCGAAACAGCGAACGATCCTAACAACAGCCGAACAGAGCGGCAGGGGGGAATCCGGCACGAAAAGCGGGCGCGGCACCCGACAGCGGAGACGGGCAGGAGATCCGCGTGAACTCGAAAACTCGCCGCGTCCGTACGGCGCGCCCGCCCCCAGATCTAGCGGGCGCCGCCGACAGGGCCCCCGGTCCCCCGCGCGGAGATCCGGCCATTCCCCGGCCCCGAGCGGCAGCAGGCGCGGATCGGGCGGCAATCGCGAGCAAGCAGAGGCAGTACTGGTGGGAGGAGGAGGAGCAGCTGGACGGACCTGAGTGAGGAGGCGGGACGAGCGGCGGCGGATCGGGCCGACGCGAGGCGGCCCGCCGGCAGGCGCGGCTGGCGGGCGTCGGCGGGGGAAGCTGCGAGTCAAAGGGGATTCCACGCGCGGGCGCGAGGAGGGTGGGAGGTCCGCGAGAGAGCGAGGAACGGGGGCGGGGCGGGGGCGCTTTCCTCTCGTCTCGTCTCCCTGAGTTGTCGCTGGCTCGCTACGGAGGGTAGGCGGGTGCGAGGGGAGGTGCGGGAAGAATAATAATCTCGTTTCTTTTGTGCTGCCTGCCTTTCGCCTTTGCTGCTGGCTGCTGTGCTGTGCTGGTGCTGGTGCTCGGCTAATTAATCGATTTCTTTTATTCGAAAATGGGTGACCCGGACAGCGGGTTGGCGACGCCGACGCGTGATCAGTTGCGCGCTTCTTAAAAAAAAAAATCTACTAATCTGGGACGGTTCATGCTCGTTTTTTTAGCATCAGTACAGATACAAGCACTCATATACACACACATACACTCATCCATATGAACGCACACACGCACATCCTACCCCTATGAGCACCTCCGAGAGACTGAGCCGGCATATCATCTTGAGATTTACGAAGTCACCGTAGGCGCCTCGTCGTCGATGGGAACGTCTCCTCCCACTGAAAGCGCATCGCCGGAAATCCTGAAATAAATTCAGCAATAATGCGAGCACCAGGATTTGAACTCTGGTGGGTTGGGGATACCACCGTCCATCTAACCAACTCAACCACAGGTTGATTCGCTGGCTCATGCTCGTTGTGTGTTTATTTTTGGGCGTGGAAGTGAAAGTGAGGATGAGCTGGAGTATTGTAAATGGAAATGGACATGGACAAAGCAGGAATAGTATTTTTCTCTGTGTCACGCTTGTATAATATAAACGGGACCTGCGAAAGAGAAAGCACACATATAAATTGTTTTTCTAAACGAGAAAGCTAAATTACAGTCGACTGGACGTTAAGAATAGATCCGTACGATTCACTATTTCCCGTTTTCCTCTCGATCCACTTCTCCCGCGAGAAGTTCCCGTTTTTCTGCTTTTTTCTCTCGATCAACTTTCCGCATTTTTTTGGCACGGCAAAATATACTATAATCGGGACCTGCGAAAGAGAAAGCACACATATAAATTGTTTTTCTAAACGAGAAAGCTAAATTATACTCGACTGGACGTTAAGAATAGATCCGTACGATTCGCTATTTCCCGTTTTCCTCTCAATCCACTTCTCCCGCGAGAAGTTCCCGTTTTTCTGCTTTTTTCTCTCGATCAACTTTCCGCATTTTTCTGGCACGGTAAAATATACTATAATCGGGACCTGCGAAAGAGAAAGCACACATATAAATTGTTTTTCTAAACGAGAAAGCTAAATTACAGTCGACTGGACGTTAAGAATAGATCCGTACGATTCGCTATTTCCCGTTTTCCTCTCGATCCACTTCTCCCGCGAGAAGTTCCCGTTTTTCTGCTTTTTTTTCTCGATCAACTTTCCGCATTTTTCTGGCACGGCAAAATATACTATAATCGGGACCTACGAAAGAGAAAGCACACATATAAATTGTTTTTCTAAACGAGAAAGCTAAATTACAGTCGACTGGACGTTAAGAATAGATCCGTACGATTCGCTATTTTCCGTTTTCCTCTCGATCCACTTCTCCCGCGAGAAGTTCCCGTTTTTCTGCTTTTTTCTCTCGATCAACTTTCCGCATTTTTCTGGCACGGTAAAATATAATATAATCGGGACCTGCGAAAGAGAAAGCACACATATAAATTGTTTTTCTAAGCGAGAAAGCTAAATTACAGTCGACTGGACGTTAAGAATAGATCCGTACGATTCGCTATTTCCCGTTTTCCTCTCGATCCACTTCTCCCGCGAGAAGTTCCCGTTTTTCTGCTTTTTTCTCTCGATCAACTTTCCGCATTTTTCTGGCACGGTAAAATATAATATAATCGGGACCTGCGAAAGAGAAAGCACACATATAAATTGTTTTTCTAAACGAGAAAGCTAAATTACAGTCGACTGGACGTTAAGAATAGATCCGTACGATTCGCTATTTCCCGTTTTCCTCTCGATCCACTTCTCCCGCGAGAAGTTCCCGTTTTTCTGCTTTTTTCTCTCGATCAACTTTCCGCATTTTTCTGGCACGGTAAAATATACTATAATCGGGACTGCGAAAGAGAAAGCACACATACAAATTGTTTTTCTAAACGAGTAAGCTAAATTACAGTCGACTGGACGTTAAGAATAGATCCGCACGATTCGCTATTTCCCGTTTTCCTCTCGATCCACTTCTCCCGCGAGAAGTTCCCGTTTTTCTGCTTTTTTCTCTCGATCAACTTTCCGCATTTTTCTGGCACGGTAAAATATAATATAATCGGGACCTGCGAAAGAGAAAGCACACATATAAATTGTTTTTCCAAACGAGAAAGCTAAATTACAGTCGACTGGACGTTAAGAATAGATCCGTACGATTCGCTATTTCCCGTTTTCCTCTCGATCCACTTCTCCCGCGAGAAGTTCCCGTTTTTCTGCTTTTTTTTCTCGATCAACTTTCCGCATTTTTCTGGCACGGCAAAATATACTATAATCGGGACCTACGAAAGAGAAAGCACACATATAAATTGTTTTTCTAAACGAGAAAGCTAAATTACAGTCGACTGGACGTTAAGAATAGATCCGTACGATTCGCTATTTTCCGTTTTCCTCTCGATCCACTTCTCCCGCGAGAAGTTCCCGTTTTTCTGCTTTTTTCTCTCGATCAACTTTCCGCATTTTTCTGGCACGGTAAAATATAATATAATCGGGACCTGCGAAAGAGAAAGCACACATATAAATTGTTTTTCTAA